GGATTAACAAGGGATGCTCAGGTGCTCAGGGATGTAAGGGATGCTCAGGGATTAACAAGCTCAGGATCAAGGGATGCTCAGATTAACAAGGGATGTCAGGGGTCAAGGGATGTCAGGATGCTCACAACAGGGGTGGCTCAGAGATGTGGGGATGTCAAGGATGCTCAGGTGCTCGATGCTCAAGGATGCTCAGGGATGCTCAGGAGGGATGTTAACAAAGGATGCTCGGTAACTCGCTCAGGGGATGCTCGGGATGCTCGGGGATGCTAAAGGGATCAGGGATCAAGGGATGTGGGGATGCTCGGGATAAAGGGTGCTCGGGAGTAACAAGGGACAGGGGATTAACAAGGGATGCTCAGGGATGTGGGGTCTCAAGGGATGCTCAGGGATGCTCGGGATGTCAGGAAGGGATGCTCAGGGATGCTCGGGGAAGGGATGTCGGGGTGGGTGCTCGGGTGTGGGATGCTCGGGGGGATGCTCGGGTGCTCAGGAGATGCTCAGGGGTGCTCAGGGATGTCAGGGTGTGGGGACTCAGGATGCTCAGGGTGGAGGATGTCAAGGGGAATTAGGGTGCTCAAGGGTGCTCAGGATGTGGGGTGCTCGGGGAACTCAGGGATGTGGCTCGGGTGTGGGGTGCTCAGGGTGCTCAGGGATGTGGGGATGCTCAGGGATGTAAGGGATGCTCAGGGATGCTGATCTTCAGAGCTCAGGGGTGCTCAGGGATGGGGGATCAGGGAGTCAGGATGTGGGGATGCTGGGGTCTCAGGGATGTCAGGGGTGCTCAAGATGTCAAAGGGATGTCAAGATGCTCAAGGGGTGTCAGGATGTCAGGGTGCTCAAGGGTTAACAAGGGATGCTCAGGATGTGGGGATTAAAGGATTCGGGGAGATGCTCAAGGGGATGTCAGGGATGTCAAGGATGTGGGATGCTCAGGATGTGGGGCTCGGGATGCTCTCAAGGATGCTCAAGGGATGCTCAAGGGATGCTCGGGGATGCTCAGGGTGCTCAAGGATGCTCAAGGATGTGAGGGACAAGGATGCTCAAGGGGATGGGGGGTCAAAGATGCTCAGGGGTCTCAGGGATAGGGATGCTGGGGATGTGGGGATGTCAAGGGGATGTCAGGGATGTGGGGTCTCATGCTCAAGGATGTCTCAAGGGATGCTCAGGATGCTCAGGATTATGTTGCTCAGGATAAGGGTGCTCAGGATGCTCGGGGACAAGGGATGTGGGGATGGATGCTCAAGGGTGCTCTCAAGGATCTCAGGGTCTCAAGGGATGCTCAAGGGGGATGCTCAGGGATGTCGGGATGCTCAAGGATGCTCGGGGATGTCTGGGGTGCTCCGGGGATGCTCAGGGATCAAGGGGGATTCGGGATGTGCTGGGATGCTCGGGATGCTCAAGAGATGTGGGGATGCTCAGGATGTCAGGGGATGCTCAGGATGAGGGGATGCTCAGGGGTGCTCAGGATGCTCAGGGTGCTCAAGGATGCTGGGGATGTGGGGATTGGGGTGCTCAAGGGATGTGGGGATGCTGGATGGATGTCAGGGATGGGGTGCTCGGGTGCTCAGGGGCTCAGGGATGTCTCAAGGATGCTCGGGGATGCTCGGATGTCAGGATGCTCGGGATGTCAGGATCGGGGATCAGGGACTGTGGGGTGGGGGGGATGCTCAGGATGCTCAGGGTGCTCAGGATGTCAAGATGCTCAGGGTGGGAGGGATGCTCGGGGATGCTCAGGGATGTGGGGATGCTCGGGATGTCAGGAGATGGCTGCTCAGGGATGCTCTGGGGATGCTCAGGGATGCTCAAGGATGTCGGGATGTGGGGTGCTCGGGGATGTAAGGGATGCAGGGATGCTCAAGAGATGTCAGGGGGGATGCTCAGAGATGCTCGGGGGATGTGGGGATGTCAGGGGTGCTCTCAGGGGGGATGCTCAGGATGTGGGGATGCTAACAAGGATGCTCGGGATGTGCTCGGGGTCAAGGATGTGGGGATGCTCGGGATGCTCAGGATGTGGGATGTGGGGATGCTCAGGGATGGCTCAAGGATGTCAAGGATGCTCAAGGATGCTCGGGATGCTCGGGGGTGAGATGGGGATCAGGGATTCAGGATTAACAAGGGATGCTCAGGGGATGTCAGGGGTGCTCAGATGCTCGGTGCTCAGGGGTGCTCGGGGATGCTCAGGGAGGGATGCTCTGGGATGCTCAAGGATGTGGGGATGCTCAGGGGTCAAGGATGCTCAGGGGAGTAACAAGGGGATGGCTCAGGGATGTGGGGATGTCAAGGGATGCTCAGGGATGCTGGGGATGCTCAGGGTGTGGGGTGCTCTGGGATGCTCGGGGATGCTGGGATGTGGGGATGCTCAAATCAATGCTCAAAAGGGGATCAGGATCTCAGGGAGATGTCGGGGATGTCTCAGGGGGTGGGGATGCTCAGGGGGGGTCTTCTCAAGGGATGCTCAAGGAAGATGCTAAGGGATGCTCAGGAGGGATGCTCAGGATGTGTCAAGGGATGCTCAAGGATCTCAAGATGCTCAAGGGTGTCAAGGGGTGCTCAGGGGATGTCAGGGGTGCTCAGGGGTGGGGCTCAAGGATGTCAAGGGTGCTCAAGGGATGCTCAAGGGATGCTCGGGATGCTCAGGGATGTCTGGGGATGGGGCTCAGGGATGCTCGAGGGATTAACAAGGGATGGGATGGGGATGGGGTGCTGGGATGCTCAGGGATGCTCAAGGGGGGATGTCAAGGATGTGGGGATGCTCAGGAGATGTCAGGGATGCTCGGGGGGTGGGGCTCGAGATGCTCGGGGATGTAAAAGGGATGCTCAAGGGATGGGGTGCTCAGGGGATGTGGGGATGCTCGGGATGTCAGGATGCTCAAGGATGGGGTGCTCAGGGTGCTGGGGATGCTCAGGGATGCTCGTCAGAGGGATGTGGGGATGCTCGGGGGATGCTCAGGGATGCTCGGGATGTGGGGTGCTCAAGGGATGTGGGGTGGGGATCGGGGATGCTGGGGTGCTGGGGATGGGGATGCTCAGGAATGGGGTGTGGGATGCTGGGGATGCTCAGGGTGCTCAGGATGCTCTGGGGATGCTGGGGATGCTCGGGATGTGGGGAGGGATGCTCGAGATGCTCAGGGTGCTCAGGATGCTCAGGGATGCTCAGGATGCTCTGGGATCTCAGGGGATGCTCATGGGATGCTCAAGGATGTCAAGGGATGCTCAGGATGTCAGGGAGGATGCTCAAGGGATGCTCAGGGATGCTCAGGGAGGGTGCTCGGGGATGCTCAAGGGATGCTCAAGGGATGCTCAGGGTGCTCAGGGAGATGCTCGGGATGCTAGGGATGTGGGGATGCTCGATTAACAAGGGATGCTCTGCGGGATGCTCAGGGATGTGGGGTGCTCAGGGTCAAGGGATGGCTCAAGGGGGGGATGCTCAGGGATGTGGGGTGCTCAGGATGAACAAGGGTGCTCAGATGTCAGGGATGGCTCGGGATGTGGGGTGCTGGGGTGTCAAGGGATGTGGGGATGCTCAGATGGGGATGTCAGGGATGCTCAAGATGCTCAGGGTGCTCAAGATGTGGGGATGCTCAGGATGCTCAGGGTGCTGGCAAGATGCTCAGGATGCTCAGGGATTGGGATGCTCAGGGGATGCTCAGGATTCTGGGGATGCTCAGGGGTGTGGGGTGCTGGGGTGTAAGGGGTGCTCAGGAGATGCAAGGAGATGCTCAGGGATGTCAAGGGATGCTCAGGATGCTCAGGGGATGCTCGGGATGCTCAAGGGGCTCAAGGATGTGGGGATGTCAGGGATGCTCGGGATGGGGATGCTCAGGATGTGGGGTGCTCAGGAGGTGAAGGGATGTCAAGGGGATGCTCAAAGGGGTCTCAAGGGATTGCTCAGGGATGGGGATGCTGGGGTGCTCAAGGATGCTCGAGATGTGGGGTGCTCAGGGGATGTCAAGGGATGTGGGGATGGGGGATGCTCAGGATGGGGATGCTGGTCAGGGTGCTCGGGATGCTCGGGGATGCTCGGGGATGCTCAGGGGTCTCAGGGATGCTCGGGGTCAAAGATGCTCAGGGATGCTCAGGGGTCAAGATGCGGGTGTGGCTCATGTGGGGATGCTCAAGGGGTGCTCAGGATGTCAGGGATGCTCAGGGGATGCTGGGGATGCTCAGGATGCTCAGGGATGCTGGGGATGTAAGGGATGTCAGGGAGGGATCAGGGGTCTTGCTCGAGACTCAGGATGTCAGGGTTGGGGTCTCAGGGGGGGTGCTCAGGGATGCTCGGGAGCTCAGGATGTGGGAGTGCTCGGGTGTCTGGGGTGTCGGGAACAAGGGATGCTCAGGGAGATGCTCAAGGGGTGTCAGGATGCTCAAGGATGCTCAGGGTCAAGGTGCTCAGGGGGGATGTCAGGGTGCTCAAGAGATTCAAGATGCTGGGGTCAGGGATGTCGGGATGCTCAGGGGATGTCAGATGTCGGGGGTCTCCGAGATGCTCGGGGGGTGCTCAAGGGGTCAGCTCAGTGGGGTGCTCGGGGATCTCAAGATGGCTCACAGAGATGCTCAGGTGCTCAGGAATACTCGGGGATGCTCAGGGGCTCAGGATGTCAGGGATGTCAGGGTGCTCACAGGAGGGAGGTGCTGGGATGGCTCAGGATGTCGGGGTGCTCAGGATCAGATGCTCAGAGATGGCTCAAGGGATGCTCAGGATGGGGATGTCAGGATGCTAAAGGAGTGTGGGGTGCTCAGGGGTGCTCAAGGAGATGCTCAGGGATTAAGGGTCTCAGGATGTCAGGAGTGTCTCAGGATGGCTCGGAGATGTAAAGGTGTCAAGGGTCTTTAACAAGGATCGCTCAAGGGGTGATGGTCAAGATGTCAGGGAGATGCTCAGGATGCTCTAAGTCTCCATGTGGGGATCAAATGCTCAAGGTGTAAGGGGTGCTCCGGGATTCAGGAGGGGAATGTCGGGATGTGGGGATGTCAGGAGGGGTGCTCAAGGATGTCTCAAGGATGCTCATGATAAGGGTCAGGGCTCAGGAGTAAGGGAATGCTCGAGATGTAAAGGATGCTCAGGAGATGTCAAGTAACTCAGGATGCTCAAGATGCTAATCTAGGGGTGCTCAAGATGTCAGGGATGTCTAACTCAGGATGAGTAATAAAGAATTATAAAGATGTAAGGGAGGTCAAATTATCAAGGATGCTCGGGGTGCTCAGGGGTAACAGGGATGCTCAGGGTCCAGGGTGGCTCAGGGGAGGAGGATTCTGAGGGTAACAAGGATGGGATGCTCAAGGGATGCTCAAAGAGATGTCAGGGTGCTCATGGGGTGTCAGGGATGTCAAGGGAGAGGGATGTCAGGGATGTCAAGAATAAAGATGCTCAGGAGATGTCAGGAGTCTCAGGGCCAATGCTGCTCAAGGGAGATGCTCAGGATGCTCAGGGATGTGGGATCAGGATGTCAAGAGGATGTAAATGATCAGGGTGCTCAGGGGGATGTCAGGGGATCGGGACTCAGGTAAGGGATCAGGGCTCAGGATGCTCAGGGGATGCTCAGGGGATGCTCAGGGGTGCTCGAGATTAATCGGGATGCTGGGGTCTCAGTCGGATGTCTAAAAGATGCTCAGGGCTCAGGAGATGCTCAGGGTGGCTCGGGTGATTGACAAGGGAGTGCTCAAAAAGGATGTCCGGGGATGTTTCAAGATCAACAAGGGATGTCAGGTCGCTCGGGATGTGGGAATCGCTCAGGGGTCAAAATGGGGAATGCTCCGCAGGGGTCAGGATGCTAAAGGATGTCGGGGTGAGGTGCTCAGGGGATGCTCAGGGGATGCTCGAGATGCTCTGGGGATCAAGATCAAAAAGGACTCGGGGGCTCAGATGCTCGGGGTGCTCCGGTCAGATCATCTGTCTTTCAGGGGTGCTCAGGGTCGCTCAAGAATTGCTCGAGGATCTCGAGAGATGTCAAGATGTCAAGGGTGCTCAGGGTCAACAAAGGGTGTCAAGATGGCTCAAGAATAGGCTCAGATGTCAAGATGTCGTGCTGGGGATGCTCGAGATGCTCGGGGTGTCAGGGTCAAAAGGTAAAGGGTCTCGAGATGCTCGGGAGTGCTCAGGGTGCTCAGGGTCAGAAGATGTAGATGTGCTCAAGATGCTCAGGGATGCTCTGGGGAATTATAAGGATAACAAGGATGCTCAAGATGCTCTGAGGGAATTAACTCAAGGGTGCTCAAGATGCTCAGGAATGTGAGATGTCAGGGTGCTCGGGGATGCTCACGGGATGCTCGGGTGCTCAGGGTGCTGGGGTCGACAGTCTCCAGGTCTCCGGAGTCGGCTCAGGTGCTCAGGCCCTCAAGGTGCTCTGAGATCTCAGGTGCTCAGGAGTGTCCAGAGGTGTCAGGATGTCAGGATGTAAAGGGGTCTCGGGAGGCTCAGATCCTCTCAGGGTGTCGGGGTCTCGGGGGTTCAGACTAACAGGGGATGGCAAGGGTGCTCAGGAAGGGTCAGGGATGTCGTTGGGGATGTCGCTCAAGGGGTCAGGGACAAGGATGTCAGGATGTCAAGGATATGGGGATGTCAGGATGTCAAGGGATGTCAAGATGTCAGGATGGGGATTAACAAGATGCTCGGGGATGCTGGGATCTCAAGATGCTCGGGGTCGCTCAGGGTGTGGGGTCTCAGGATGCTCGATAACAAGGGATGCTCAAGATTAGCTCAGGGGTGCTCCATGGGGAAGTCTCACTGAGATGTCACGGGGCCTCAGGATGCTCAGGGAGTGTGGGATGTATAAAGGGTATAAAAGATGTAGGGTAAAGATGCTCTGAGATAACCCTGGAGATAAAGATGTCAAAGATGGCTGTATGAACCCCTCAGGAGTTGTCATCGAGGCGACAGCCTCGGCTGCCGCAAAGTGGATGTGCCTCAAACTCGGGGTGGTCAAAACAGTCCCTACGTTTCAGGTGAAAGGTCAATTCACTCGCTTTTACCTGGATTTT